TTTTTTTTCAAAGTTTATTTATTTTTGGGACAGAGAGAGACAGAGCATGAATGGGGTAGGGGCAGAGAGAGAGGGAGACACAGAATCAGAAACAGGCTCCAGGCTCTGAGCCATCAGCCCAGAGCCCGACGCGGGGCTCGAACTCACGGACCGCGAGATCGTGACCTGGTTGAAGTCGGACACTTAACCGACTGCGCCACCCAGGCGCCCCTAATTTTCCCCAATGTTAAATTAGAGCCAATGACTTGGCAAAAGATGTATGATTTGTATGATTTGCAAAATTATTCACGTTTGTAATTTTGAATTTTTTTGGCTTACTTATTTTGAAGGAGAGAAAGGGAGTGAGTGAGCACACAGCGGGGGAAGGGCAGAGAGACAGGAAGACAATCCCAAACAGGCTTCGTGCCATGGTGCCATCAGCATACAGCCCAATGCAGAGCTCAAACTCACAAATCATGAGATCATTACCTGAGCCGAGATCAAGAGTCGGATGCAGCTGTGCCACCCAGGCACCCCTCATATTAATAGTTTTATAAGGAGTTGGAATTACATTAATCTTACAATGAACAGTTTGTGTTAGTTAGTAGCTGGTACAATTTTATAAACAAATACAGCATTTAGCACATCCATCCGTGTTTCCACACGTTTTCGTTTCCCATGAAGCTGATGGCCATTGTACTCATCATGATGGGGGTAACTTACACCTTCCCTAAATTTTTCACATCTCTCTTGACGAGTCTCCCAGTAATTAACTCGTAATATCACAAGAAATAGTAGGTGCTTATTGGTCAGGAGTATCTTTACTGACACTGAGTGACCTACGTTCACAGGATTTACAACTGGCCATTAGTGGCCCAATTTACACATTTTCTTTATGTCTAGAATACTGATATTCACACATCATTTTCACTGACTTGCATTCATTTTTGTCTTTATTCCATTCAACTAGTGCATTCTCAAGAAGCTATGTTTAAAGGCATAGTGACAGACCTGCATACAGAGACCATATATTCGCCAATTTACATTCAGACCACTAATAGTTTTTCAACCTAATCCAAGATAATTATCCAAGATAATTGATAGAGAACATTAAAATCTGCCTTTAATAAACAATGGAACCATTGAATCCAAGTCATCTGTAAGATACTTGTACCAAATCCGTGTATTTGTAAGACGAACCCCCAAACTTAGACGTTTTTCTCTCTTGTAAGTGCCAACAGGGCAACGTCCCCCCACACAGATTTCAGAACTTAACCTGGCAGTAGCATGTTGGAAACTTGTGATGGTCACACTGTGGAGAAGCAGAGCCAACTTTCTGTCTGTGGCTCTCAAAACATTTTTGTCGGAATAACAGAAGAATTTGGAAATGTTAAACAGTAAACTTGTAGCATGGGAAAAGAAAAGAGACACCAATTACTCCACTGCTATTGAGTACCCATTGGGGTGCATAATAGGGCTTCGTCCTTTGTATGCACCGTCTCATGTAATATTCATAACGTTATTTGTATTACTTCAGGCTCATGTACCCGTCGAGAAAGCTCCAGGGCAAGGATGAACTTTTTTTGTTCATGCATTTGTTTCCACGGTTCTCCAAACACTCACACGCACACACAAAAAAATCACAGTTTTGAATCCATACCAAGAAGGAGAAATATTGAATAAATGTACAGAACGCCTCTCACGTCAACCGGAAGATCTAAATGAGTCTGCTAATTATCATTGTTCCTGTTACATGACATTCACTGGGAACAAATGGTTCGGACCTGGGAAGGCCACTGTTTTTGTTTATTTGTTTTTAATTCTGCCCCATTTGCTCCATCAGTAAATTGTTAAGATGAGGAGATACTGTCTCTGACCGGGAAGTCTCTCACAGTTCAAGGGTATGGCGGTTGGCGCAGTGATGGTGAGAGTCACATGAGCAGAGAGCCCACACTTTGTTATCTGAATCTCGAATCATACCCTGTTTTCGTACTTGAAGATGGAAGAGGCCGAGGTGATCGTGCCGTAGCGCAAACTGAGTCGTGGTGATATCCCAGTTAGCAAGCCGTAAACACTTGCCAGATTTAATAAAGTTATTTGTACACGGCCATTTCAGCCCATGCAGGCCAATTGACTTGGGTAACTAAATATTTTCTTTCAGTGCATGTAATATATACGTTTTGTTGAGAGAGAAACTGGCCAGCACTTCATCATTGTCATGGATCCCTTTACATCCTTCCTTGATTCCACAGTTAGGGTTGGACTTAAATTTAGGAATTCAAAAGCCAGTGAAGGGAAGCACACCTAGCAGCTAACAGAAAAATGAACTGTGAAATGAAGACAGGAAAGCCTTAAGGACTGACGAGGCTTTCAGTGTTACGCAGTTAACAAAAAATTAGCTACAAATTTATGGTACTTCTGTATTGAAACCATGGCCTTTCTTGTAGGTTTTACCCGGGAAGTTCTTCAGTTGAGACACTGTTTTGACTAATAATCATTTATTTGACATCCACGATTGTAACTTACACTTTGGGGTTATACCTTTTCTAACCAGTGCTTCCAGTTTTCTCCCACTTTTGTCAGAGGCTGAACTCTTCCATCATATTTAATGGTCATACAGCATTGACACCTGAAAGGACATTAGATTTACGCTATCACAAAGACCATGTGTCTGGGAGAGAGTGCTCGTATCTGATACCACACATGTCCGCACAGTATGCACACATTTCTCGCCCATAGGTAAGTTTTTTTTTAATTGTGGTAAAATACACATAATGTAGCACTTGCCGTCATAACTCGTACGCAGATTTTTTTTTTAAATTTTATTTTGAGAGAGAGAAACGGAGAGAGAGAGAGAGAGAAGGAGCAGGGAAGGGGCAGAGAGAGAGAGGGAGAAGAATCCCAAGCAGACCCCATGCCAAGTGCAGAGCCCGACGTAGGGCTCAATCCCATGAACTGTGAGATGGTGACCTGAGCCAAAGTCAAGAGCCGGATGCTTAACCGAGGGAGCCACCCAGGCGCCCCAGGCAGGTTGTGAAGGCACCATCGGGGGAAGGAGAGGAGAAGCAGCATGGAGGACTGCCCTGGGGTTGGAGTTTTCCTGGGTGACTGGGACGGGTCCTGGTGCTGGAGTTACCATGTTTGTGGTTTCCAATGACATTTCAGTCACCATCAACATGAGGAGTAAACTGGCTATAATTAACTCCCTTTTTGGAAGCAAGGTAAAGACGTGGGTGTCGCTAGCTGCGTAGAGGGTCAAACTCGGTCATCAGTGAGGAGCAGTGGTCAGCATGCTGGCAGGTGTTTCCCAGCATGTGGTAGAGACTCGTGTTCAGTCACTGAGAAGCAACTGGTAACACAGGGTAGGTCTTACCAGGTGGTGGGCAGCGTTATCAGGAGATGCCCAGATGTTGCCAGGTAGCGGTGAGCCCTATGCAGTCATCGGTGAGGCCAGTGTTGACTCAGCCACCAGAAGTGTTGCCGGGTGCCATTCAGGGGTCCCCGGGTGCTACCAGTCATGAGTCATGGCTAGTCAGCAGTGTGGAACAGCACCTACCACATGCTGTTCACATTGCACCCCGGTTCGTGGTCACCACTGCCACCACATGTAATTCTGGTGTCGCTGACTCCTATTTGACATCAAACAGTAAACAGAGAACCTTCCTCGGTGGTCTCCTACCTCCAGGAGGAAGGCTCTGAGTGGAGCCCCTCTCTGACACTGCTGTTGGCATTGCTTAGGGCTGACTGAGCACAGCCTCACCAGAGTTCGAGCCCATGCAGGTGAACACTTCGTGCACACGGAGGGGACAGTTCCAGACAGTGCCTGCGGTTCACCACATGTCTCTCAGTGCCCCAGTTCTTGGCAGAGGGTGGGTGTGGGAGTGCCATCCCCACTGCCTGGGAGCCTGGCTCACAAAACCTTCTTTAGCAACAACATGGCACCCTTACAAAGGGGATGGATGGAGGGCTGGGACTTTACCTGGCTGGACAGGTGCATTGCAGCTGACAATGGGTTTAGGGGACTGGTTGGGGTTAGGGTAGCTATCTTGGCAACCAGCCATCAAAGCAAAAGGAGCATCACCAAATGCTGTCCTGAACCATTTTTCCTAAGGAAAAAGACACATTTGATAAGTGACCCTTTCCACTACTCACACTGTTTCCGTAATGCGACTGACTCTCTAAACAAGTCAAGGAATACCTGTTCTCTCTAGTGTTTCATTGATTGTGGGCTCAACTGAAATATCATCAGCCCTATGCTATCCAGAACTTGACTGTGTCACAGGTAACAACGATTCACATTCGTTTTCTGCAGAATTTATTGACAATTCCATATTGATAAGAGGTCCCATGTGCACATTAACTCTAGAAGCTGGATATTATTAAAAGATGTTCAATTAACTGAGGCTTAGACTACTATTTGATAAGCTATCACTAAATGTGTTAACTGATGTGAGGGTTGTAAATGTTCCGTAGGGCTACAGCGAACACATCTTGATTAGTATTGACCGTGCAAAAACTAAATGACTCATTAGAGAATGAAAATATGTGTACAGTGGTCCCAAAGAGCTCCTCAAATGGTACTAACATCCTTTATGAATATTTGTAATCAATTATTTGACAACCACATTTAACTCACAATGTAACACTTTGTGAATGTGCGTTTGTATAATTCATGTGTATCTGGAAAGGTACAATTCAAGGGTCGGGTTCCTTTTAGAAATTAACGTACAGTATTATGGGTTTGGGGGGGGAAAAGAAAACAAATCTATTTATTTTGTAAAATATTCCAGGGAAATTTTGACCAAGTAGGAATTTTTTACCTTCCTTTCTGATGTCTTGGAAATCAAGCATCCTGAGTCTGTCATAAGAGAAGTTCTCTTTTAAGGGCACCAGGTTGCCTCTGTCAGTAAGAGCGTGTGACTCTTGACCTTGGGGTTGTAAGTTCGAGACCCACGTCAAGTGCAAAGGTGACTTAAGAATTTTACATCTTAAAAATAAGAGAATGGTTCTTCTCTCTTTAGCCTCTGTTCCCCAAGAAGAACTACGAATGCCTGACGAGCTGTGAGTTCCTCAAGTACATCCTAGCGGTGAAGCAGGGGGACTGCCCGGCCCCCGAGAAAGCAAGCGGATTTGCCGCCGCCTGTGTGGAAAGTTGTGAAGCTGACAACGAGTGCTCTGGGGTTAAGAAATGTTGTTCCAATGGGTGCGGACACACCTGCCAGGTGCCCAAGACGCTGTACAAAGGTAATGAGCAGAGCACCCACTGTGAAGGGACCCTCACAGTGGGGTTGTGTGTGCATGGGGAAGGGTGTCAGTCAAAGATGGCACTACGGGGGTGCCCCGGGGGCACAGTCGGTTGAGCGCCTGACTCTTGGTTTCGACTCTGGTCATGATCTCACAGTTGGTGAGTTCAAGCCCCACGTCAGGCTCTCTCTGCCCTCCCCCACTCACTTACTCTGTCTCTCAAAAACGAAAACCAAAAACAAAGATGGCACCATTGGAAGAAAAGAAAAACGGTAAGAAAGTGTACTTTGTGCCACAAACATCTGAAAATACCACCGGATCGTATAGATCAGCCACAGCGCACACATTCTGGGGCAGAGCAAATCATCCTTATCACATTTATTTATTTTTTTTTAAATTTTTTTTTCAACGTTTTTTATTTATTTTTGGGACAGAGAGAGACAGAGCATGAACGGGGGAGGGGCAGAGAGAGGGAGACACAGAATCGGAAACAGGCTCCAGGCTCCGAGCCATCAGCCCAGGGCCCGGCGCGGGGCTCGAACTCACGGACCGCGAGATCGTGACCTGGCTGAAGTCGGACGCTTCACCGACTGCGCCACCCAGGCGCCCCATCCTTATCACATTTAACATTTCAGGAGGACAACATCACTTCAGGAACTTTCTCGTACTTTTCTCCAGTAAGAATAAATCAATTCGGCTGCTCCGGGTACATTGGAGTAAATGGATTTAAATCCTTGGAAAATGGGCTGGGGGTGGGGCACCCTTGAGAAATGCATAACCAATGCACCAGTATTGTGGATTTCTTGTTGGCATAATCCAAGAACACGAATGTCATTGTGTGGACTGTCACTATTTTGAGTCGTGTCTTGAGAACCAGGGGGAGGAGGAGCTATCTTCCAGAGATGGGGAGTCAGTTCATCAAACCATTTATATATATAAATATTATTATTAATATTATAAGTAGAGAGAATCATCTTTGATTCTCCTCTCTTTCACACCAAATATATATTATTTCCAAATATAGGTCAGTTATTTTTAAACCGCATGAAACACTATCGCCAGCAATATGCCCGTTTTGAATTATGTGCTGGCTGGCGAACTATTTTCAGAAGTCTGCTCTTAGATCACTCTCATCTCCCAGGACTTATGTCCCTGCCCCGGTCTCCTCTGGCCCACACTGAGAATTACTCCAGTCTGAAACCTGTGTAATCCATCCGGCTTTTCTTTTCTTACTGCACCCCCCCTTTCTTTTTTCCATAGGATCTTTGGAAAACTGGCATAAATACCTGTCTCAAATTCAAAATAATTGCCGCTTTCCCCTTCTTACTGGGTGACGTTTCCTTAACAGATTTAAAGTTTTATTGTTTTCATGCCTCTCATTGTAAACTACATAAAATCGCTTTTGCAAAACCAAACACCATTTAATTTTTCTAAAGTCTGTTATTATGAAACCTTCTCTGTTATTATAGATCATTTGCTATTTAAGTATTAGCATTTACCACAAAAATAGCATGCTTTTATAGTGATTGTTGAAAACCCATTTGTAAAACCCTTAGTGTTTTTAAAGTACAGTGTTTTAAAGAGGCATTCTATGTTAAAATATGCTTTTTATTTAAAAAGCATTGAAGAGTCAGTGTGAATTTCAAATATGCCTGGTTCACCAAGAATAAAGGAAATAGTCTGTGAAGGGCCAGCATAAAATGATTAATTATTAAAAGAGACTTGCAATTTAAGCCTATGCTTAACTCTGTCTTTCTCTCTCTCTCTGTGTCTCTCTCAAAAAAACATAAACATTAAGAAAAAAACTTTTTAAAGGGGCGTCTGGGTGGGTCAGGTCATGATGTCACAGTTTGTGAGTTCAAGTCCCATGTCAGGCTCTGTGCTGACAGCTCAGAGCCTGGAGCCTGCTTTGGATTCTATGCCTCCCTCTCTCTCTGCCCCCTCCCTGCTTGGTCTCTGTCTCTGTCTCTCAAAAATAAACATTAAAAAATTAAAAAAAAATTTAAACCTATGCTTAACTAAATATGATGGACTTTTAAAAGAAGCATTGAAGTCTCTCTCCTTCTATAAAGTAGCTCTTGGCTTTTTATGGAGACGGGCAGTTCATGCAGAATTCATTAGAAATAGGATGAACAGTCTCTTGACCTGATGATGACTTTTGCCCAATGAGACTAGGATTATATTCCTGTTTTTTTGAGCACACACATAGCTGCAGGTAGGTATTTTCCCCTACGCTCTGTTGGGCAGTCCCTGAAGGCTGGCTGGTTTCCACGTCGGGGGGCATCTGACCATGGCAGTGAGCATGCGAGCAGGTGCAACCAGTGCAAGTCGGAGGGGCCCCACACAGCCGGCCAGAATGCTTCCCGCCGCAGCCTTGGCTGATTAGCCACCCGAAGCGTGTAATCGTGTTCCTGACTGGAGTCGCACCGAGGAGCGTGGTGGGGCTCATGGCCCCCTATCTCCCAGGTAGAGGGTCCTCTTGGACCCAGCGCTTGGCTGTGCAAGGAAAGAAAGACCAACTACCCAGCCAGACATCCCGCACCCAAATCCCCCTGGGCTCGTCTGTGGGGGACCAGCCCCCACCATCCTACTGGCCTGCCCGTTGCCTTCTTATTGTCCCGAACCAGCCACGGGTCAGAAGCTTGCCCTCTGCTCACTGCTCAGGCTAGGTCTGTGCCGTCTCTTTCCTTAGGAAGAGGGCACCCATCATTGGGTGAGATGGGGCTGGTCCTGACCCCAGTCTGCAGGTGCTGACACTGAGCTTGCAAGCTGTTTCTCAGACGACTTGGTATTCAGTGGCGGGAATACATCTGCCCCCCTGGTTCCCAGCTGGGCCAGCTCTCCTGGTATTTTCACTTGGAGTCTGTCCAACTACCACAGCAGGGCCTGAAATCACTGTATTAATACAGTGTAGGTCAGTTAAAAGATTTATCAATATCAGATATATTTTTTAAAATTTTTTAACATTTATTTATCTTAGAGAGACAGAGATAGAGTGCAAGTGGGGAAGGGGTAGAGAGAGAGGGAGACACAGAATCCGAAGCAGGTTCCAGGCTCCGAGCTGTCAGCACAGAGCCCGACGTGGGGCTCGCACTCAAAAACCGCGAGATCATGACCTGAGCCAAAGTCAGACGCTTAACTAAGCCACCCAGGTGCCCCCCAATATCAAATATTTTAAACTTTTTTTTTTTCAACGTTTATTTATTTTTGGGACAGAGAGAGACAGAGCATGAACGGGGGAGGGGCAGAGAGAGAGGGAGACACAGAATCGGAAACAGTCTCCAGGCCCTGAGCCATCAGCCCAGAGCCCGACGCGGGGCTCGAACTCACGGACCGTGAGATCGTGACCTGGCTGAAGTCGGACGCTTAACCGACTGCGCCACCCAGGCGCCCCTCAAATATTTTAATAAAAGCACTGATTTGTCAGTTGTTGGGGTACAACATCAGGTCCAGTATTCCTTATCAGAGTACTCATGCACATAACGCTCACCTGTGGACAAATAATCATGTCAACTTTTGCAGTAAATTGATACGTACTGGCCTCTACTGTTTTTTTCCTTTCATGAAAGCTTATTGGGTTAGTAAAATTTTCTTAAAGTACAGAAATACATACAAATGTTCTGTTCAGCCTCCTGTGCTTGGGGTAGGGAAGAGGGGGACTTCCTAGATTCTATAGCTTCCAAACCTGATGATGCTCTTAAAATCAATGCATGTTTTGAAAAGATGGTCAACAAACTGCATTCTATTTGAGCGTTTAATTTGGCTTATGCTGTAGGAATTGTCCTAAGCCATTGTCTCTGACTAAGTTGACCTTATAGACTTGTGTGAGAGTTTAAAAGAAAGCAAGACAACAGACAGCTTTTCCTTCACCCTTCAAATAACATTGTTAGCCACACCCCGGGATGGTTGCAAACGTTAACGCAGGTAAATGCCCCCTGAGCGGCCAGTACCCTGCGGTGCAAACCAGAGCATGGTCTTGGGAAGTTGAAAAGGCTGATTCTCCACAGGTAAAACATCAACGCTTGCACATCGGGCACTTGTGACCCCCCCCCCACCTTGTCTGTTTTAATTCTGATTTATAGCTGACCTACACTCTCCTCCCTCCAGAAGGTGATATAATTTTTTTTATTTTACTGGCCAAACTGGTGCTTCTGACTCGCAGCTCTGGCACTCATTTGGGTAGGGAAGGTGAGAACCTGAAATTGTTGTCCAAATGTAAAGACTGAGATCAATTTGTGGCTCTCTGTGATCTCTGTTTTCTCTTTACCATGTGCAAACCAACATTAATCATGTATTGCTTTGTTTCCAGAAAGATCTGATGATGGTGTTGACTTAATATCTCCATGAATGGCTTCATATTTGAAATATTTAAAGCTCAGGTCTTTAGAGATGGTCTAATAACACTTTTCACAAATCCATTTTTTAGCATTTTGAATACAGTGACCCGATTCCTGGATGTGATATGAACACAAATTGCCTGAGTACTGATTAGCTCTGTGAGAGATAATGGGTAGTGGCTAATTATTGAATCGTTGGAACACTGTATCTTGCCACATTTTCATAACATTTAGACTCACGAGAGAAACATTTTTACAGGAGTAACCAGATCTCGTGATTTACAACTGCCGACTGTGATCATTGAGTTTTCTGTCATTCTGTTTGCAAAGTTTTTTACATCATTGGGTTTCACCGAAATACTTGTCACGCTTTAAAGAAAATGCACCTGTAATGTCCCATACGGTGGGATGTTATAGGATAACATGTTTGACAGAACAGCACAGATTTCAGGGGACTAGGTTGTTCAAAACTAAAGAAGAAAAATTCTAGTCATTTACGTAATAAAGGACACACGGAGAAGGCATGCCTGGTGCACATCTGGTTGTGCAGCATGGATGCTGGCTAAGCTACCTAGGACTCTTCAGAAGGCTCTGGGCTGTGGGGGCCGGGTGTCTCGGGGCTGGGGGGGGGGGCCGAGGGGCTGAGCCCCATCTGCACACAATTACAGCCGAGTCCTGGAGCTCCTTCCAATCAAGGGAGCCAGCTGACCCTAATGCAAAGCAGATGGGTCGTTTCTCCACATGCAAATCGCAAGACTGTTGTACGTAATAATTAAAGAGATTGTTAAATGAAGAAATGGGAACTGACATCACTCTGATGCTCATTATGTTCGATTAAGGCTCTTGGTCGTTGAATGATATTCAAGATTAAAACCATCTAGCAAGGGGATTGTTATGCTTGCGTTTGCTGCTGATGAGTTCAGGTTACTTCAGCGGCCGGAGTATTTACCGGAGGTGCATTTATGCTGGAGGATTACGCATAGGAGGGCCAAGGAGAAACTTGGATGGGGAGTCTCAGAGAATGTGCCATATGAGTGTAAAGAACTCCGCAGTCCTCTTCTCTTTACTCAGCACAAAGACACCGTGTGAATCCTGAAATGTCCTCAGAGGCCACCCCCTCCTTGCTCATGTGCATACCCCTTGGCAGAAAGGGTGCCTAGTCCCCTGCCTGCAGCGCAAACACGATGCAATCATTTTGTTGAGATTTGACCTCAATCTTTAGAGAAGCTACTTTGGGATTAAAACTCATCTGCAACGAACTTTCAGATTTTCCAGCATATCAGCAATGGTTAGGAATCGGTCTTTTCTTTTTAACTGGGAAAGTTATGTCAATGCAATAAAACGATTCCATTTTGTAAACTTACTAACATAGTTTTGTTACTGTTTAGCATTTACTTTTCAAAAACATAAGAGTAAGCAAATACCTGTGCTAAGTTTTCTTCCTTCTGCTAAGTGAGTGCCCTCCGGCAGCGAGGGGGTTGCCCGTTGGTGCCAAGATGGCGTTCCTGTATCCTCTTAATTTCTGCTGACAGGGGGTTAGGCTGTTCCTTCAGCACACATTTACTGAGCATTTGCTGTGACAGAATGTGCTCTCCTGAGCCACGATGAGGTGTGGGAATGAAGGAGAAGGTGAACATCGTCAAATGACCTGGCTGCAGTAAGAAGGAGTTAAGTGCACATGTTGACTGTTGCAGGCTAAGCTTCGAAGAGAGAGCAGAGAATGGGACCTTTATTTCCAATGGGGAGGTTTAGGGTACGTCGCTCTGAGGGGCGGCATTCAGACTGAGCCCAGGAGTATTCACGTGTCCATGGTCAGAAAATAGGAAAGACAATTCAGACTGAAAAAAATCCGTATAAACGCGTCGTGGTGGTAGGAAGCAGCTGACAGTGTGTTTCTAGAAAAGCTGCGTGTAAAGGTAGGTTGTGTGACCAATATGTAAAATGTACCAAGAGACAAACAGAGAGATCACTGGTGGTAGATGATAAAGATAAATGCCGTGACGTGATGTTGAGAAGTTTCCCTTCGTTCCGCAGAAAATAAGATGTGATTGAATAGTCTGAGAAGGTGGAGGGGACAATCTGTCCCGTACTCTAGGAAAATCATAGCCACAAAACACTGTGAAGGGGGAACTAAAAAGATGGGCTTGCGGGCACATGGGACGGGACGTTGTTAGGAAGGTCCAGACAGGAGATAGAGGGCCGAAGAAAGGGTGGTCACCGTGGAGACAGGATGATTGGGGAATTCTTGAAATTATACTCTGCAGTCAAACCACGAGGTGTTGGTATGTCCAAGAGCAAGTCGAGAGGTCCCTTAGCGATCCAAAAGAATAGAGTTGCCATGCAGATACCATCAGGAGTGGGGACATCCTCAGGAGGGGCATTTGAGTTGGGACTCGTGCAAAGAAATTCATCTGGCCAGCAGGTGGACAATGGGACCTGCAGCCCTAAATCAGGGTACAGAATCGAGGGTCACATACTTAGCAGCAATACTCTAGGCCTGAAAGTGAATGTGACTCTCAATGTAAGGTTGTGCACCGAAAACAAAAGTTTATGACCTGAACCTGAATAAACCCTCACACAATGGCAGAACAGGAGACAAATTCCACCCCAGCCCGCCACATCAGGGACATTCAAATCAGAATCTTTAAGGGATATGCAGAGCTATGAAAAGTGCCTCCTTTCTCTACTTTTCTCAGTAGCTCTTCCTAATTCAAAATGTGGCAAGCAAGAGAGAAACCTGAGATCAGGTCATCGCTGTAGGCAACTTCATCTTCCTCAGACTTGACTACTTGATGTTCAAAATGGAGGTAATTAACCCTTCCCCCACAGCACAGACCCACAGTGAAGATCACTTGAGACACCAGCATTGTAGTAAAGGGACAAGGGATGCACATACCCCATCAGCAAAGCAAAACGGAGACTGCAGTGGGTATGGGGAATGTTTTCTAGAAAGTATTTTGTACAACTCATTGACCTTTGACTGGATATATTTGGTGCTGTTTAAAAATTACCCAACTCCACCCACCTCAATGTTTAAGGACTTTAAAGTGTCCCCAAACAAGGCGCAGCATAAATTAAGGTCAACGTGAAATCAGAGTTGATATTCAGTAAGGTCACTAACAGGCATTAGATATTATCTACGTTTTGTATTTGCACATTTTTCAGTTTCCTGTCTGTTTAAAATGAAGAAGTGGAAAACGAAATAGAGCATTATCAAATAACGTTTTCAAACGAGTTGTCAACGTGTTAGGCAAATGCTCATTCTCAAGAGAAAATGATCTTAATGGCATGTGAAGTTCTAGGTTGTCGTGGCGTTGAACATCGTGGTGCCATGGACTCTACCTAATCCAATTAGTCTTACACATCCTATGAGTACATAATCTCATTTTAAACTTCCCTTTCCATAATGGCCACCATTTGGAACTATGGTTCTTAAATCTGTCCATCGCCAGACCACTTGAATGCACCATGGGGAGAAAAAAGAAATCAGAATGATGAACTACTTTAAAATGAGCCACCTGTGAGGGACTTTTGAAGCAAGGCGGTCACTCGTGCCAAAACCAAACATTATAAATTCATCATTTTTCAATTTTAAGCCATAAGTCTATAGGAGGGAGCCCAGCAATCAATTGGGGAATGCTAAGGACCCATGCTTTGGAAATCATTCTTGTAATGTTTGACCACATGAGAGCATTTTAGGCTTATAATTTTTTTCCTTAGAAGGCAAACATTCTGAGATGGAAAGGCAAGTAGACCGGGGAACCACGTTGTAATGACTTTAGACTGTATCAGCAGAAACAGAGCATGTTGGATGGGAACAGTGTCTTCAAACTCTTCACGACCATGGCGTCACATGAATTCTTGTTAACCGCGTGGTAACATGGCTTATTCAGAAGAATGCACATAAAGGAATTGCTCTCAAGATGCCTGGGTGAAAAATGCTTGTTCAGAATCAGGAACCAGTTTAGAGTCTCTTTTTAAAAAAGGGAAAGCTAAAAGAAAAGAAGGTAATTCTCCTGAAATGTGGTGGGCTGACGTCAGTGTGAGAAGCTCTCAAATGTGAAACCGTGATAGGGAGAAGCCACTTTCCTGGGAGGAAGTGAGGATCTGTTGTCATTACAGGAGATTTGTCTTTTCTAAAGGTTTTCTTCCTCAGCTTTACCTCTGATCATTTTAATTGCCATGGTCCTGTTTTAGGTGTCCCCCTGAAGCCCAGAAAAGAGTTAAGATTCACAGAACTGCAGTCTGGACAGCTGGAGATTAAGTGGTCCTCGAAATTCAATATTTCCATTGAGCCTGTGATCTACGTGGTGCAAAGAAGATGGAATTATGGAATCCATCCCAGTGAAGACGATGCCACACACTGGCAGACGGTAGCCCAGGTCAGTGCTTCCTGCGCCCTACCCCTCCCCGCCTTGAGGCAATGTCGACCACATACCTGCAGGCAGAAAATTAACTTGCTGGGGCCCCTGGGTGGCTCTGTCGGTTATGCGTCTGGCTTCAGCTCAGGTCATGATCTCATGGTTTGCATGTTCGAGCCCAGTGTTGGGCTATAGGCTGACAGCAGGGAGCCTGGAGCCCGCTTCGGATTCTGTGTCTCCCTCTCTCTCTGCCCCTCCCCTGCTCGCACTCTGTCTCTCTCTTCCTCTCTCTCAAAAATGAACCAACATTAAAAAAAGAAAATTAACTTGCTGTGCCCCAGCCAGAGTAGCCTGACTGCCGAAATAACTCACTCAGATGCGGACATAATGGCACGTGTGTGTACGGAAGACAGGACGAGTCCACAGATATAACCCGGTACAACTAGCAACTTGACTATTGGCCTACTTTGCTCAAAATACGTGTGCAGTGGAGATAACTCTCTAATCTGAGTGTTCACATTTACTTCCTCCAAGAACTGCATTTCCTTGCGATAAACTTAACACCGGCCAGAGTCAAAGAAACATAACACTACTAGGACTAGTTCACGGGACATTGGACCATCTACACGACTCCTGTTTCTCCTGCATTTCAAGCCTTCCTTCTACACAAGGACTTGAGTAGCATGGAGGGAAGATTCCTATCGCAAAAGCCCTTAGTGGGAAATAGCCGTCAGCTCCTAAATCTTTGCTAAGTGCTTCCTCCGTCCCGCTCAGCTTACACACTGATACCCCACCTGCATGGAGTACGCTTGGGGTTTATCTTGACCCGTGCTGCTTCCTTTTCTGTCTCGCTGATGAGAAAAGCAAAATATTTTCTTTCTTTTTAAGAGCTGCTAAACGGACTGCCAGCTGCAAGAAAACTACACGGTTCTAGAAAATGAACAGATTCTCAGTGTGAACCTGCCTCATGTCCTCAGCAGCTGAAACGCCTTCTCCACATGTGTCTGGAGGCACAGATTCTGACCTTAAGTGGATCGGGTCATTTTTCTCCAAGGACCCGATTCCCGTTATTGTTTCCAGTAGATGCAGAATCAGTTTCAGGGTGCAAGTGTTTGGAGGAGGAATTTGGTTCTTTTCTAATAGTATCGCAAAGAGGATAAACACTAAAATAATTTAGACACTCCTAAATAAATGAACAAATGAGTGGGGAAAATGCCTGCTCAAATAAATTTAGGAACTGTTTCATTCCTATTTTCTTAAAACTTTTTTTTTTTGCTTTACTAAAACATAAAGGTGTTTGGCATACCGCCAACATACATGATATGTTCCTTAATGGGACAATCTCACTTGTAAATTTTACGAATTATTTAAAGATTTATGAAAGTAATGGACAAGAAGATCATGTCTCTCATTCCTTTTTTTGAAGAGAGGGAGGATCTTGAATAATAATAATAAATTTTATAAATGTGTATAATATTTTATATTACAATTCTATTTATATTAATATATAATACATTAATAGTAATGTAATTATTACTATTATTATTGACTAGTTCACATCTTTCTTTCTCTTCCTTCCACCCTGCCTTCTTTGTCTGCTAAATGCTATGGGGAACGTGCTGGCTTCAGGTTTTTAAACTAAAAGTTAAAAGTAAACGGTGATGTCTGTGGAAGGGTTGCCTCGCAGTTTGCTAAACGAGGTAGAAAGCCACACGTGAGAGTTCATAGCTTTTCCTTGGTCTCGGAAATGTTTCTCTTCCCTTAGATATTAAAGTAAATGTGACACCCCTTTGCAAGAAGTTATTGTGGACCCGGGCTAAGGAGGTTTCAGTTCAATCCCACTTGCCCACTTTCACGTACTGAGCGCACATTGGGTTTGGCACTGGGCAACTCACTGGGTCAGTGAGGCCCCGCATGTGGGGATTTGGCTCTTGAAGTCAATGCAGGGGTCCGCAGGTCCCCCCCACGGATTGTCGGGAAAGCGGGTATGGTTCCCCTCAGCCTGATGAGGTGGGAGGTTAATTGAAGTCTTGTGACTCCAGCAGGAGACGCAGCCAAACCCGGGCACCTTCACCAATGCCCACTTTTTTCCTTTGGACATTTTATTGGACAGAGAGACATCAACACGCCTCACCCTTGAGAAGCACGACCGGGTCCTTGCAGATCATACGTGATTTACTCAAATAGGGAAAAAAGGCTCGGGTTGCAACATACTTCCGGAAATTGTTAGCGCTCTTTAAAGCATGTGAGTCTCCATCTGACTCCCAAGATTCTATTTGGCAAGCAAGTTAAAGAGGCATTTTTCTTCTATAATTGAAAGGTGATTTCATTTTCTTGCCTATAATGTAATGATTAGCTCATGTATATATTCGCTCATATGTATAACTTAGCGATTAAAACCCTCATGGGTTTAGTGCTGTATTTAGTCACCAGACTCAAGTAGCTCAGCCATGTTCATACGGTTTTGACTCCAGAGATCTTTAACTCTTTGGGGTGAAATACCTATGAATGGAATTAAACACTTGAAACGCCCTGGAAATTCCTTGACCCCTGATAGCTCTTCTCATCACTGAGCACGGTCCCCACACTTAGGCACGAGGGCACAGGGACGTCAAGGCAGCGTGGCGTTGGCTGATGAGGTGGTGCACTTTTACGACAGACCCAGCTGACACGTCTGGGTAAAAGGGTTCTCTGTGCTCTGTGACATCTCCCCCCAGACCACAGATGAGCGGGTCCAGCTGACTGACATACGACCCAGCAGGTGGTACCAGTTCCGAGTGGCAGGTGTCAACGTGCATGGGACGCGAGGCTTCACCGCCCCCAGCAAACACTTCCGCTCTTCCAAAGGTCAGTCTCACTTTCCTGGCCCCTCGCTCCCCTCCCCCTCCCGGCATACCTGGGATGCACATCCCTTGTGTCCCCACGTTCCTATTCACAGCTGCTCAGCAGGTGGCTTTGCTGTTGTTGGCGAAAAGGACCAGATGTGTTTGAAGGCAGCGTGTGAATATACGATTAAGACCGTCATTGGGCTTTATACCTTCCAAACATCGCACAAGATAATCTAGTGGGGTTTTCTCACCTTTGAACTGGTGGTTTTCCATTATCAACTTGTGTTGAGTCTTAGCCTCGAGATATTCTGTGTCAGTCACCAGTGAATTAATTTTTAGAGGGGAGGGTTTCGTTTGAGCTACTTTAGACTCTGCGGCTTTTCTTGAAACGGTTGTCATAGTGAATGTGAGTTAATCTCTTTTATTTCATCACACCCAGAATCTAAACCCCGAGTCACCCCGAGTCATCTACTCACAGTCACCGTATTGTAGTTGAAGGACATACCCGGGTTAGATATGAGTGTTCCCTCCATGTGTATTCCCCCAGTCGTGTTTAGATGGCTGTGCACCTCCAGCGTTCATTATACGTGTGTTACAAAACCTCATCTCAGAGCCGGGCTGGTCGGCTTGTTCACCTACTAACCAGTCGCTCTCGTCTTACGTGGAAGCGAATTCAGATTTATTTTAAACACAACGCTTTGTGATATCAATGCATAACAGAAGGCTTATGACATCAGTCATACGTATGTTACGGGAGGGTTTGAACGGGCTGCTCTGACTTGCGACTTCTGCCGCAGGATTGGTCTTCAGTGGAAAGCTTGCAACCGAGATAATTTCACATTTGGATCCTATTACAGTGTGTGTTGTAGACTTTTAACTCTCTGTTTTTTTTGAAAAAGAACTTTTAAGAAAGGAAAAGTGCATTTTTTTCCCTCCATGGAGGCAAATGCACTAAGCGAGTTTAAAAGTGGAATCACGGACATCAGACCTTGTCTCGAGGCTGTCTCCAGTTGGCCTGATGATTTAGAGAGGGAAGTGCAATAATTAATTCACAGTGGGTTCGGAGGTGAGGATCAACTTGGGTGTCATGATTCAAAGGCGAGCCAGGCACGTCGCGGCCGAACTGTGTTACCATCTGTTCTGCTGCTGCAGGTCGTCTGGTGGCTCAGGTCAGGGCTGCAAATACGTGGGCAGAAGCACTTTGCAGCCTTTGGAGACACATGTGGAATACCTTTAGGGATGGGGCGGGATCTGGGCAGGGCTCTGTTGAGTTTCCAGGGCCGGTCATGTAGCTTCCAACTGCCTAAGAGGCACCCGTTCCGAGGAAGCAGCCAGGCTATGCTGTCCCAATATCCCTGCCGTGTGTCTGAGCACCTTAGTCATCTAGAATCACGGCTGCATCCCTCAAATTTAAAGGGGCTCTTGTTGAATGAGAATGCACCATGTTGGGGAAACATCACAGTCACCATTACTCTCTTCTAGTTACTCATTTTCCAAACACATCCAACCCTCAGCATCCCAGACTCCAGTTATTGCAAACCAAAGACGTCTGTGCAGAATTCATAGTACATCCTAGTCTTTTCCCAGCAAAAATGCATCACACTACTGTGGAAATGTAATACACTGGCTAAATAAATGGTCAAAGACATTTCCTTCCAGGACTGGCCTAAAGGATCCTTAACCATTTACAGGGTGACACCACGTCTTTCCCCACCTTACTCCAGTTTCATCAAATGTAGAAATGGGCCTCACTGGGAAAACAGTTTTTAAACCCCTTGAAATATAATTATTGCATCATTACAGTCATTCCTCTTAAGTGTACAATGGAGGGACTTGTGGTATTCACAGTGATTTGTGGGGCACTGTCTTCCCCTGTGAGAACCCCCCCAGGAGCCTCCATGCTGTAGAACAAAGTTAGTTTTGCATCTTTACCTTCTCCTTGGATCACTCATGTTTCATTCCTTTTTGTATTCAACAAATATTTGTTGAGCACCTATATGTATCAGGCACTGTTCTGGGCACAGGGGATAATAAATGAACAAAAGGAAAAAAACTATCTGCTCTTGTGGAACACAGACACACACACACACACACACACAGACACACACACACACATATTTATTCCAGTTGGGGGGTGTGAGGAAACAGTAAATAAGATTAATAAGCAAAATACTGTTGTAAAGTAGGATAGGGATTACTGATGATAGAATAGAACTCAGGACAATACTAAGGAAGGGTATTCGTTTTTTTTACAGTCTTAGCGAAGGCAGACAAGGGTTTTGCTGAGAAAGAGATGTGTGTGAAAGGAGACGGGAGGGGAGAGGAGGGGGAAGCAGGGATGCCGGGGGAGGCCACTCTAACGATCCTGGGCGAAGGTGATGGTACTTTGGACGAAGCCAGAAGTGAGTTGCCCGGAAGAGTGAAGAGTGAAGTTGCCAGTGAGTGATGCTGGTGGGCCACCTCAGTAAATTCTAAAAGTCACTGGCTGGTTCATTGAATGTGAGTGAGTTTTATCATATGTAAGTTAAATTCCAATAAGGTTGTTAACACAATTTTTCCCCAGTAAGATCCCCATTCTACATTTGACGAGATCGGGTAACTGGGGAAAGCTGTGTTGCCGTCTTGTAAATGGTCAGGCATCCTTTGGACGAGTCCTGGAGGAAATCTTCAACCGTTGAGCGCAATTGTAATACTCCCATCATTTTGTGATGCGACTTCACTGAAACCATATTAGAGGTGATTACGAAATCTGCACAAACACTTTAGGTCTGTGAGAGTGCAAGAACCACACAATCTAGAATGTTCCTCCCAGGGAGATCTATAGCTATGGAGCATATTTGCAAAAGCAGGAAATAAAATGTTTTAACACTGCCATGTTTCAAAAAATGGTACGTTTTCATTTAATAAAAGCCCATTTATTCCCGCTGTGCTCCAGAACTGAAACTGTACCAGTTGTAACTCCTCGAGTGGTTTAAAATTGCTTTGAGAAAGAATTATTGCTTCTAAAATAATAGTCTGTGCAAAGGGTAAGTAATTTCTAGTGTATTTGAGTTGAGTAGAGGGCCAGCCTTGATCACTTAAGTCTGGGTCAAGGGAAAGGCGAAGGGGGAAGGGATTTTTTCCATCTACAATAAACACATCTGAAAATAAAAGGCAAATTAAATACAGAAAGAAAAAAAAACTTGATAAAATGGGTTTCATTTAGCTTATGCTTTCTGCCTGCTATTCATTGGCCTTAATCCTGATTTTCGTGGAGAAGCCAAAATTCTTGTCATTCTCTTCTTTATGGTTCTGTTTAAATACAAAATTAGTCTGTGGTTTGCCAGAATGGATTGGCTGTTAACTAAGTTAATTTCCTTTTAACTCATGTATTTTCCAATAACTTAATCTCAGCCCCTCAGAGTGATGATTTGTACAGAAAGTTCTGAGTTGTTGCTACGTTGGTAGATTGCTGTTAGCCCGTACGTCCCCCAGAAGAAATGCATGATTATAAAATAGAGAAAATCAGTAATTTTTGCTGGCAACAGAAAGCCCAAAAGAGAGGTTGGGATAATTTCTGTATTCACTTATTTAAATCCTCTCCCACCTTTCCCCCGGTACTTAAGAAGGAAAATCGGCTTTGACGTTAAAAATGAAGATGACAAATAATTCGGTATCCTAATGCATAATGTCTCTTTCTGGGTTTTGTCTCCTGATTTGGAAACTAGGAATGGTAATGCTTCCACGTGGCGACTTACCTTCCTCGGTCACTGCTAGGATGAAGCGCCTTTCTTTCGCCCCGCTGCCACATCCTAGGGTGTACCAGAATTTTTGTGTCCTGTTGCATTGGAACAAACCACGGGAAGCACGGAGCATAGGAACAGAGGGTGCCATTGCGCCTGAGAGCTTTGAGCGCAAGTGGCTTACTTGGGAGGCCGTCCAGGGAACAAGGGGGATGGGAGGTGAGGCAGGGAGGAAGAGAAGGAAGAGGGTAAGAGGCCGGTTCCCATACTGGTTGTCACTGTGGGCGACCGAACTCCTTGCTGTGGGGACTCAGTCCTCAGATGCACGCTATTCCGCGGGGACATCCGTCCACACACGGGCAGAGCTCTGGCCGCTGGCGGGGCCAGCTGAGGAGCTGGGTTCCCAAGTTAGCCATGCGTCCTGAAGCCGTGAGGTGCAGGGACTGACACTGGGATGCGGGGGTCTGCAGGGCTCGGGCTCCACGGCCACGGGATTCCTGCTACAGCAGATCACGGACATGTTCTGCTGTGGTTCAAAATAAATACATTCACAGTTTCACAAAAGGAATGCCCGCCTTCCTAAAGATCCCCGGTCCCCTTCCTGTGTCAGACGGCGGCAATAACCCAAGAAAGGCGTGCCTTTCTGGCCTCTCCCCTGATGGCACCCTCTCCCAGCGTCTGGCAGGCTCCACGGTGTGTCCGTACCAGAGCCACTCAGGTCCAACCCTCAGAGGCCCCAGACGTGGCAGTGAGCCATCGGGAGGGACAGCTGTAGCTACAGAAAACCTACTTTTTGGGTTCCATGCCATACTTGCTCGTCTTTTTCAGCAAATTGGTGTTTAACCTTCGTTTGACCGTGTGGATACTTACTGAAGGGACACAAAATGCATGTGTGTTGCATGCCCCATATTGGAAATGTATATTGGTGAGTCCTACTACCTGGGCCAAATGTTTGCTGAATTTGGGAAGTAATGTCCCTGCCCATCCAGATGACTTCTGTGTGTCAACGTACGTAGCAAGAGAAAGAAGGAAGTCTTCAAGTTTTGTAGGTTGTACAGAGCAAAATCCGAATTTTGGGTTTTTGGTGGTGTTTTGGTTTTTTGTTTTTTGGGTTTTTTTGCATGTTGCCAAAAGCAGGCAAACATTTGGATGTTTAAGACTGGTCAGTATCAGTTGACCATTGTGAAACAGCAAACGTTAAAGGGACGTAGAGGGAACACTAAAAATCCACCTTCTGTTGCTAAGCTAATATGTCATTTTCTAGTTATATTCATGTCCCTCCAAATTCGAGGCTTTT